CACCAAGACTTCTAGATACGTACGCCACTGGTGAGCAATGACGTAACGCCTATGCGCTCTCGTGCGGCAGTCCACAGGGCCCCCGACTCCTGGGACCCCTACCCATATGATCCTCGATCTAGCACCCTGACCCAAAAGAGCTTTGTTGATACATAAGAGAATAATGTGTCTCTGACATTGACTGTAGGACATATATCATATTATACCCAGTGACGACAAGGGGCGCCCTAGGTTTAATTTGTGAAAACAATCGAGACAAAAAGAGAAGATATTCAAATTTTAAAGTCGGTGAGTGCCAGTTCCGGCCCTCTAGAGGTGCTATAATCTACATTTTCTTATCTCAGCCCCAGCCATGGGCTGACTAGGTACCTACAGACCCTCTATCTCTGAACGTCCCCTGGGCCCCTCTATTTCAAATTCCTACTAGATCCGCCACTGATATCATACCATTTTGTCGTCGTTTTAAACATAGGCCTAATATTTAAAATGGCAAACATGATTTAAAAATTAAAATCAAACCCCACAATGAAATTGGCTACCAAGACCGAAAGGGGGCCCTCAGTCTCAGAAAACAGCATGGGCCCCTAGTGGCCATGTTACGCCACTGCTTTTGAGACCCCACCAGTACCCTGTCTGGCCCTTTTTATTCCACACCAAGCAAAATATTATTGTAAGTTGAATGGTTGAAAGCATACAATAACAATAATGCCTGAGGGCGTCATCTGCTGTATTCTTTAACGTCTAAATGACGTAATGTTTTTTTTTTTTTTTTTGCCAAATTAAGTGACAAAGGCCATTTTTCGTATTTGGTTTCCTGGTAGATACTGTATTTAGGTTGTGTTAGGTATTTTTTGCGTTTCAATTGTTAAAACAAAATGGCATATTCCGTCTTAGATGAGTTGAAAAAAGACGCATTAAATTGCGTACTTTGTTTCCAGGTTCCCGGTGAAGACGACGATGACTCCAATATTTTTAAACAGCTAAGCTGCAATCACATTTTTTGTAAAAATTGCCTTGTGAAATGGGTGAAACCAGATGATGGCCGAATTACTTGCCCGACTTGCCGCAAAGAAACGGTCCTGGACAACACTGTGGATAACCTTCCGTTAGCTTTTCAGGCAACACATATAATTGATTGGATAAATAAAAAACAAGGAAAGGAGCTAGAAGGCGAGATGACAAACCGACAATGCCCAGATCATAAAGTACCAAATAATTTCTTTTGCACTGATTGCAATGAGTACGTATGTGGAGATTGCCTGGCACTAACGCATAATAGGAAACATAAAACGCTGCATATTAAAGCAGAGGCAGAATCAAAGCGTAAAGAAGTACAGGAGATGATAAGAAGAATAGATACTCAATTGGTACACTGGAGAAAAGCAGAAGACCAAAAAAGACAAGTTGTTAATAGTATCGAAGCAGAAGCAGCTACTGCAATGGCATCAGTGAGTAATTATTTAGAACAAGTCGGTGGGACTTTGGTGTCAACAAGAGAATGGCTAGGAAACGCAATAAAACATGAACAAGAGGCGAAATCCAACGCTGTGAAAAAAGAAATGGAAGCAATAACTAATCAAATTGGAAAATTTGAACATAAGATGGAAATAGCAAGGAACTCCTTGAAATACTCAGACGATTATAAGATATTCAAGGAACATGCTGGTATTGTAAAGATACTTGAAGAAGTTCTTGACAATCCGCCTGCTATCTTAACCAATCAAACACCGGCAGATTCGTTTAGGTTTACACCTAATTTAATTGCTATCAAACGCTGTCAAAAGGATATTATGAGGATGGGAAAAGTTCATAAATCAAATGGTAAGATGATGACAGTCAACAATTGATGACATTATTTCCTTTCGTAATATGAAAGCAACGTCGAAATTGGTGATTAAATCCATAAAAAAGTGGGGGCGATACCGGTATCTATATCAGGCTATTAGACCTACCAGTGGTGTGACGTTGAGGCAGGGGGCCCTGTGGCTTTCTGAGACCGGGCCCCTGTTTGGGTCTCGGTCGCCAATCGTTGGGTTTAGAACGACGAAATAAATTATATGATATCAGTGATGGATTCAGTAATTTGAAATAGAGGGTGTCTATTTCACAGATGGAGGGTCTATACCACCTCAGCCCCATCATGATTGGGGCTCAAGTAATAACATTTTTGATTATGGCACCTAGAGTGCTAGAGTGCCGGAAATGGCGCTCACATGTTTGAAATTTGAATATACTGTAATTTCTTTTTTGCCCCTAAAGGGTGGGGGGCCCTGCGGACCGCTGCACGAGAGCGCATAGGCGTGAATCTACTTTACGTCACTGGCTGAATTCACGCTATACGCGATAATATTCGCTAAAGGAAGCTACATCAAGCCACCTGTGTAGGTACTGTGGTGATGTATTCACACGGTCAAACGAACTTAAGAATGTTACGCTATTACCACACAAAGTTACACAACATTATAATAAGTCAATTGCCTATAATATTGTCTGTTTTCATTTATTTTTTTGTTCTTCCTTTCAGAATCACTTATTCTTGTACGTAGAGAATCATTCAAGGACACTTCGCAATTTGTCTTGCAATGTATGAAAAACGTTGTGAAAAGAGCGTATGAATTAAATGTCAGGGAAATGTCGCCAGACGAAGAAAGACAAGCAAAATGTATATTTATTGTCGAGCAGTTGCAAGAGGCTTGTGGTGAGAAATGGAGTTGTATTATAGGAGATTTTACGGTGTCTGTAAAAGAATCTCTGCATTGGGCCAGTTTCATCGTAAATAAAACCGATAGAGTTTTCATCTTTAAAACCATAACTACAGATGCTGCACATGAAGGTAAAAATGCTGTACAAAAAGATAAAAAGCATAGGAAGCCAGCTAAGTTGTTGCATAATATCACGTCGTCAAAGCCTGTATCTAGGGCGAAGAGTTATTTTTCCTAGGATGGTACAGGGCAATTACCATAAAATTATGAAAATGGCGTGTATACGGCGGCAAGGTCACTGTGGTCTCCGATAAGATCTTGGAGAAAGTTGGATTAATGGGTCGGGCGAAACGATAATGTTGGCTACGCAATAAATAACATTATATTGCTAAAGGAGGTTATGTATTTAAGAGAGGAAAAATTACAACATACTGTAATAGATAAGATATTTTTTTTAAATTGTTGAGTGATCAACTAATTATTCAATAAATTGGTCACTTAATCACTAATCAATCAATCAATCAATCAATCAATCAATCAATCAGTCGTAAAAACAATATTTACCATCGGTGCAAATTTTCATTGTATTTTGTTGTACCAGTACTTGCTTCTGTTTAGCAATTGACAATTTTGTTGTATCAATTAATAGACGTTGAGTATAATTATTGAAACTTATCAATCACAGGCTTCAAATGGGGGCATAAAAATTGTCGACTAACCCAGAAAAATACGGTAAAACCAGATAATAACAATAGGTCTATAATAATATAAAAATGATGCTTATAATATATAATAATATCAAATGTATTCAAGAATTATAATAGTAATTACAATACAAATTATTACAATTTTTGTATATAACCAAAATATGTTTTATGCAACAGGTCTTTAGCAGGTTTAACAGGTAATCAAGTTAACGTATCATTGGGTATTTAATAATCAACAAGTTTAATTATTTTCATCATTATCCTGTAGGCCTATATATAATCAAGAGGTTTTAACAGATAATTTTTAACAGATATTAACACGGAATTAGCAAAAAGTTAACAGGTTAGCAGGTTTAACAGGTACCGGTAATCAACTGGCATCTAACAAGTATCAAATAGATTATATTTATAATTATCCAGTAGGCCTATATAATCAAAATAGGTTATAACAGGTACCGTAGTTCAACAGATAACCTGGAATTAGCAAACTGCAACAGGTTTTAACATTAATTTTTATTAGAAGGTTTAGCAGGTTTTAACAGGTACCGGTAATCAACGGGTACATTAAACTATTCAAAACTTTCAATTACCTATTAGGCTATCATTATACAGTATACAAATGCAAAATATATACAACTATATTTTCATCGGTATAGTAGGCTACGTTGACCTGTTATGTCGATTCATGACTTGTTTAGGGGTAAACATTTCTATATGCTATTGTCGTCTGTCTTCTCCATGACTAAATGGTATGGGGGTATACCGGTATGAAGGCGTGTGACGGTTACAGCTTAACTTGATACCGGTACTCAATAATTGTTTAGAAATAGGCATTATAAAAAGATCATTTTTGATGCAGTGCATCGTACCATGTTAACGTGCTTAGTGGACCTATGTAAACACCTGGTTGAATTAGCTTTAGAAAACGAATTAAAATGATACCAGGATGTTCACAGTTTGAGGTCAGGTAATCAAACAAAAAATGTGCGTCTCCATATTTTCGTTTTGTGTGCATCTTACCATGACATGAGCACTGTAGTAGGGTACGTATATACCCAAGGAACTTAGAAAACTTTAAAAGTTTAAAGGACACGAGGCTGTTCAAAAATCCTATTCATCCTGCTTGCAGCGAATCAGATCAAATCAATGCCGTAACCAGCTATTGGTACAGTTGGGACAGTCCTACACCATTTTTCCAAATTATGTAATTTTAAACATAAAATGGGTCCAGATTTCTCATATTTAGCTTAAAATGAATAAAATTCAAGAAAATGGGTCTAGATTTTTCATTGCGTAAAATGAGTCCACATTGTTTGAATATAGTTAAGAAATCAAAAATTATTTTATTTATCTTATTTATATGTGTGTGGGTATATGTATGGTGTGTATATATGCATATATGATATATGTATTTTAGCATGTATAGGCCTGTATGTATATATATTTACATTTA